ACATGAAATGTGAATAACGGTCTGTATCGATTTCGTGAATAACGGTCTGTATCATGGATACATGATACAGACCGTTATTCACATTTCATGGTTACATGATGCTCAGACCGTTATTCACATTTCATGGTTGCATGATGCTTCCGTTATGTATGATACTCAGATATGATACTCAGACAGTTATTCACATTTCATGCATACATGATGGTATGATTCCCAGGCCGTTTTTCACATTTCATGGTTACACGATGCTCAGACCGTTATTCAGCTTCATAGTCACATGATGCTCAGATCGTTATTCACATTTCATGGATACATGATGCTCAGATCGTTATTCACATTTCATGGATACATGATAACTCAGACCGTTATTCACATTTCATGGATACATGATGCTCAGATCGTGATTCACATTTCATGGTTACATGATGCTCAGACTGTTATTCACATTTCATGGTTACATGATACTCAGACCGTTATTCACATTTCATGATACTCAGACCTGCTTAGACCGTTATTCACATTTCATGGATGCATGATACTCAGACCGTTATTCACATTTCATGGTTACATGATGCTTAGACCGTTATTCACATTTCATGGTTACATGATGCTTAGACCGTTATTCACATTTCATGCATACATGATACTTAGACATATACAATCGTAAATAACAATTAACTGACGTATGACTCTCAGACTGTTTTTCACATTTCATGGATACATGATACTCAGACCGTTATTCACATTTCATGGTTACATGATGCTCAGACCGTTATTCACATTTCATGGATACATGATACAGACCGTTATTCACATTTCATGGATACATGATACTCAGACCGTTATTCACATTTCATGGTTACATGATGCTCAGACCGTTATTTACATTTCATGGATACATGATACTCAGACCGTTATTCACATTTCATGGATACATGATAACTCAGTCCGTTTTTCACATTTCATGGATACATGGTTACTCAGACCGTTATTCACATTTCATGGTTACATGATGCTCAGACCGTTATTTACATTTCATGGTTACACGATGCTCAGACCGTTATTCACATTTCATAGTTACATGATGCTCAGATCGTTATTCACATTTCATGGATACATGGTTACTCAGTCCGTTTTTCACATTTCATGGATACATGATGCTCAGATCGTTATTCACATTTCATGGTTACATGATGCTCAGACCGTTATTCACAATTCATGGATACATGACACAGACCGTTATTCACATTTCATGGATACATGATAATTAGACATATACAATCGTAAATAACAATTAACTGACGTATGACTCTCAGACTGTTTTTCACATTTCATGGATACATGACACAGACCGTTATTCACATTTCATAGTTACATGATGCTCAGACTGTTATTCACATTTCATGGATACATGATAACTCAGACCGTTGTTCACATTTCATGATACTCAGACCGTTATTCACATTTCATGGATACATGATGCTCAGACCGTTATTTACATTTCATGGATACATGATACTCAGACCGTTATTCACATTTCATGGTTACATGATGCTCAGACCGTTAATCACATTTCATGCATACATGATACTTAGACATATACAACCATAAATAACAATTATCTGACGTATGATACTCAGACTGTTTTTCACATTTCATGGATACATGATACTCAGACCGTTATTCACATTTCATGGTTACATGATGCTCAGACCGTTATTCACAATTCATGGATACATGACACAGACCGTTATTCACATTTCATGGATACATGATAATTAGACATATACAATCGTAAATAACAATTAACTGACGTATGACTCTCAGACTGTTTTTCACATTTCATGGATACATGATACTCAGACCGTTATTCACATTTCATGGTTACATGACACAGACTGTTATTCACATTTCATGGATACATGATACTCAGACCGTTATTCACATTTCATGGTTACATGATACTCAGACCGTTATTCACAATTCATGGATACATGACACAGACTGTTATTCACATTTCATGGATACATGATAACTCAGACCGTTATTCACATTTAATGATACTCAGACCGTTATTCACATTTCATGGTTACATGATACTCAGACCGTTATTCACATTTCATGATACTCAGACCGTTATTCACATTTCATGGATACATGATGCTCAGACCGTTATTCACATTTCATGGATACATGATACTCAGACCGTTATTCACATTTCATGGTTACATGATGCTCAGACCGTTATTCACATTTCATGGTTGCATGATGCTTAGACCGTTATTCACATTTCATGGATACATGATACAGACCGTTTATCACATTTCATGGATACATGATGGTGTGATACCCAGGCCGTTTTTCAAATTCTATGGATGCATGATACTCAGACCGTTATTCACATTTCATGGTTACATGATGCTTAGACCGTTATTCACATTTCATGGTTACATGATGCTCAGATCGTTATTCACATTTCATGGATTCATGATAACTCAGTCCGTTTTTCACATTTCATGGATACATGATGCTCAGATCGTGATTCACATTTCATGGTTACATGATGCTCAGACTGTTATTCACATTTCATGGTTACATGATACTCAGACCGTTATTCACATTTCATGATACTCAGACCTGTATGATATTATTTACATTTCATGGATACATGATACTCAGACCGTTATTCACATTTCATGGTTACATGATGCTCAGACCGTTATTTACATTTCATGGATAGATGATGCTTAGACCGTTATTCACATTTCATGCATACATGATACTTAGACATATACAACCATAAATAACAATTATCTGACGTATGATACTCAGACTGTTTTTCACATCTCATGGATACATGATACTCAGACCGTTATTCACATTTCATGGTTACATGATGCTCAGACCGTTATTCACAATTCATGGATACATGACACAGACCGTTATTCACATTTCATGGATACATGATACTCAGACCGATATTCACATTTCATGGTTACATGATGCTCAGACCGTTATTCACATTTCATGGATACATGATGCTCAGATCGTTATTCACATTTCATGGATACATGGTTACTCTGTCCGTTTTTCACATTTCATGGATACATGGTTACTCAGACCGTTATTCACATTTCATGGTTACATGATGCTCAGACCGTTATTTACATTTCATGGTTACACGATGCTCAGACCGTTATTCACATTTCATAGTTACATGATGCTCAGATCGTTATTCACATTTCATGGATACATGGTTACTCAGTCCGTTTTTCACATTTCATGGATACATGATGCTCAGATCGTTATTCACATTTCATGGTTACATGATGCTCAGACCGTTATTCACAATTCATGGATACATGACACAGACCGTTATTCACATTTCATGGATACATGATAATTAGACATATACAATCGTAAATAACAATTAACTGACGTATGACTCTCAGACTGTTTTTCACATTTCATGGATACATGACACAGACCGTTATTCACATTTCATAGTTACATGATGCTCAGATCGTTATTCACATTTCATGGATACATGATGCTCAGATCGTTATTCACATTTCATGGTTACATGATGCTCAGACTGTTATTCACATTTCATGGATACATGATAACTCAGACCGTTATTCACATTTCATGATACTCAGACCGTTATTCACATTTCATGGTTACATGATACTCAGACCGTTATTCACATTTCATGATACTCAGACCGTTATTCACATTTCATGGATACATGATGCTCAGACCGTTATTTACATTTCATGGATACATGATACTCAGACCGTTATTCACATTTCATGGTTACATGATGCTCAGACCGTTATTTACATTTCATGGATACATGATGCTTAGACCGTTATTCACATTTCATGCATACATGATACTTAGACATATACAACCATAAATAACAATTATCTGACATATGATACTCAGACTGTTTTTCACATTTCATGGATACATGATACTCAGACCGTTATTCACATTTCATGGTTACATGATGCTCAGACCGTTATTCACAATTCATGGATACATGACACAGACCGTTATTCACATTTCATGGATACATGATAATTAGACATATACAATCGTAAATAACAATTAACTGACGTATGACTCTCAGACTGTTTTTCACATTTCATGGATACATGATACTCAGACCGTTATTCACATTTCATGGTTACATGATGCTCAGACCGTTATTCACAATTCATGGATACATGACACAGACCGTTATTCACATTTCATGGATACATGATGCTCAGACCGTTATTCACAATTCATGGATACATGCTACAGACCGTTATTCACATTTCATGGATACATGATACTTAGATATATACAACCGTAAATAACAATTAACTGACGTATGACTCTCAGACTGTTTTTCACATTTCATGGTTACACGATGCTCAGATCGTTATTCACATTTCATGATACTCAGACCGTTATTCACATTTCATGGTTACATGATACTCAGACCGTTATTCACATTTCATGATAACTCAGTCCGTTTTTCACATTTCATGGATACATGATGCTCAGATCGTGATTCACATTTCATGGTTACATGATACAGACCGTTATTCACATTTCATGGATACATGATGCTCAGACCGTTATTTACATTTCATGGATACATGATACTCAGACCGTTATTCACATTTCATGGTTACATGATGCTCAGACCGTTATTTACATTTCATGGATACATGATGCTCAGACTGTTATTCACATTTCATGGATACATGATAACTCAGACCGTTATTCACATTTCATGATACTCAGACCGTTATTCACATTTCATGGATACATGATGCTCAGACCGTTATTCACAATTCATGGATACATGATACAGACCGTTATTCACATTTCATGGATACATGATGCTCAGACCGTTATTCACATTTCATGGTTACATGATGCTCAGACCGTTATTCACATTTCATGGTTACATGATGCTCAGACCGTTATTCACATTTCATGGATACATGACACAGACCGTTATTCACATTTCATGGATACATGATAACTCAGACCGTTATTCACATTTAATGATACTCAGACCGTTATTCACATTTCATGGTTACATGATACTCAGACCGTTATTCACATTTCATGATACTCAGACCGTTATTCACATTTCATGGATACATGATGCTCAGACCGTTATTCACAATTCATGGATACATGATACTCAGACCGTTATTCACATTTCATGGATACATGATGCTCAGACCGTTATTCACATTTCATGGATACATGATGCTCAGACCGTTATTCACATTTCATGGATACATGATACAGACCGTTTATCACATTTCATGGATACATGATGGTGTGATACCCAGGCCGTTTTTCAAATTCTATGGATGCATGATACTCAGACCGTTATTCACATTTCATGGTTACATGATGCTCAGACCGTTATTCACAATTCATGGATACATGATACAGACCGTTATTCACATTTCATGGATACATGATGCTCAGACCGTTATTCACATTTCATGGATACATGATACTCAGACCGTTATTCACATTTCATGGTTACATGATGCTCAGACCGTTATTTACATTTCATGGATAGATGATGCTCAGACTGTTATTCACATTTCATGGATACATGATAACTCAGACCGTTATTCACATTTCATGATACTCAGACCGTTATTCACATTTCATGGTTACATGATGCTCAGACCGTTATTCACATTTCATGGTTGCATGATGCTTAGACCGTTATTCACATTTCATGGATACATGATACAGACCGTTTATCACATTTCATGGATACATGATACTCAGACCGTTATTCACATTTCATGGTTACATGATGCTCAGACCGTTATTCACATTTCATGGTTGCATGATGCTTAGACCGTTATTCACATTTCATGGATACATGATACAGACCGTTATTCACATTTCATGGATACATGATAACTCAGACCGTTATTCACATTTCATGATACTCAGACCGTTATTCACATTTCATGGTTACATGATACTCAGACCGTTATTCACATTTCATGATACTCAGACCGTTATTCACATTTCATGGATACATGATGCTCAGACCGTTATTCACATTTCATGGATACATGATACTCAGACCGTTATTCACATTTCATGGTTACATGATGCTCAGACCGTTATTCACATTTCATGGTTGCATGATGCTTAGACCGTTATTCACATTTCATGGATACATGATACAGACCGTTTATCACATTTCATGGATACATGATGGTGTGATACCCAGGCCGTTTTTCAAATTCTATGGATGCATGATACTCAGACCGTTATTCACATTTCATGGTTACATGATGCTTAGACCGTTATTCACATTTCATGGTTACATGATGCTCAGATCGTTATTCACATTTCATGGATTCATGATAACTCAGTCCGTTTTTCACATTTCATGGATACATGATGCTCAGATCGTGATTCACATTTCATGGTTACATGATGCTCAGACTGTTATTCACATTTCATGGTTACATGATACTCAGACCGTTATTCACATTTCATGATACTCAGACCTGTATGATATTATTTACATTTCATGGATACATGATACTCAGACCGTTATTCACATTTCATGGTTACATGATGCTCAGACCGTTATTTACATTTCATGGATAGATGATGCTTAGACCGTTATTCACATTTCATGCATACATGATACTTAGACATATACAACCATAAATAACAATTATCTGACGTATGATACTCAGACTGTTTTTCACATCTCATGGATACATGATACTCAGACCGTTATTCACATTTCATGGTTACATGATGCTCAGACCGTTATTCACAATTCATGGATACATGACACAGACCGTTATTCACATTTCATGGATACATGATACTCAGACCGATATTCACATTTCATGGTTACATGATGCTCAGACCGTTATTTACATTTCATGGATACATGATACTCAGACCGTTATTCACATTTCATGGATACATGATAACTCAGTCCGTTTTTCACATTTCATGGATACATGGTTACTCAGACCGTTATTCACATTTCATGGTTACATGATGCTCAGACCGTTATTTACATTTCATGGTTACACGATGCTCAGACCGTTATTCACATTTCATAGTTACATGATGCTCAGATCGTTATTCACATTTCATGGATACATGGTTACTCAGTCCGTTTTTCACATTTCATGGATACATGATGCTCAGATCGTTATTCACATTTCATGGTTACATGATGCTCAGACCGTTATTCACAATTCATGGATACATGACACAGACCGTTATTCACATTTCATGGATACATGATAATTAGACATATACAATCGTAAATAACAATTAACTGACGTATGACTCTCAGACTGTTTTTCACATTTCATGGTTACACGATGCTCAGACCGTTATTCACATTTCATAGTCACATGATGCTCAGATCGTTATTCACATTTCATGGATACATGATAACTCAGACCGTTATTCACATTTCATGATACTCAGACCGTTATTCACATTTCATGGTTACATGACACTCAGACCGTTATTCACATTTCATGGATACATGATGCTCAGACCGTTATTCACAATTCATGGATACATGATAACGCAGTCCGTTTTTCACATTTCATGGATACATGATACTTAGATATATACAACCGTAAATAACAATTAACTGACGTATGATACTCAGACTGTTTTTCACATTTCATGGATACATGATAACTCAGTCCGTTTTTCACATTTCATGGATACATGATGCTCAGATCGTGATTCACATTTCATGGTTACATGATGCTCAGACTGTTATTCACATTTCATGGATACATGATAACTCAGACCGTTATTCTAAATAACAATTAACTGACGTTTGATACTCAGACCGTTATTCACATTTCATGGTTACATGATACTCAGACCGTTATTCACATTTCATGATACTCAGACCGTTATTCACATTTCATGGATACATGATACTCAGACGTTATTCACCTTTCATGGATACATGATACTCAGACCGTTATTCACATTTCATGGTTACATGATACAGACCGTTATTCACATTTCATGGATACATGACACAGACCGTTATTCACATTTCATGGATCTCTCTCTT